AAGTTGACATATACTCTTCAAAAAAAGAGACGCAATATGGATATGTTTGGCCATGAAAACAAAATTAGCGGACCAAAAGATGTAAAATGAAGAGGTTTAATGATCACAACAAGCACATGCAAACCATTAGTCGAGAAACACGAACGATTCGGAAAAACGCAGTGCATGAACAAAAGGGCCATGGAGCTGCACGTACTGCACGTGCACGTTGAGAGAACACTTGGTGATTGTGGCTATCTCAGTTATCGGTACATAGGAAAAGTCCGGTTGCACTATGAAGGTCGGTTGGCCAAGGCCAATACCGGGACGACCAAAAGTAACCATCCCCGCCCACCATCGCTACCTCCGACTGCGCCATCGACGTAAAAGGACGACCACAGCCACCACAACCGCATCCCAAATACCCGGACTGCGCAGAATCTCCGACCTGACCGTACGAAACCGTTTAAGAGCAGATTTTCTACGAGCAAGACGTCCTGTTCGACGCGTCATATTGAGTCGACAACATCGTCAACAACAACTGCATTGGTGTCGTCAACACAGGGTATGGCCTTAGCTGCGATGGAGAGATGTCTGTTTCAGCGACGAATCAAGATTTCTACTCCTTCGAGGGGATGGAAGAGCACGGGTCTACAGACGTCGGGGAGAGCGTTATGCCGGAAACTGCGTACAGAAAGTGGACAGGTTTGGTGGGGGTAGCGTTATGATGTGGGCAGCTATATCTCACTATGGCAGGACAGGTTTGGTCCATATCCAGGGCGATCTTGCGGCTCAACGAAACATCAACGAAATCCTCCTACCACACGTCATCCCAATTGCAGCCAGCGTTAACGGTGTATTCCAGCAGGACAACGTTCGACCGCATACACCACGGATCACAAGAGCCTGTTTACACAACTGGGTTGATATTCTCCCCTTGCCCATCAGATCCCCGAATTTGAACCCGATAGACACCTGTGGGATGAATTGGATAGACAGCTACGCCGACGTCAACCGCAACCCCAGACGTTGCGGTCTTTTGCGTTGCAGGCCGAATGGGCCACCATTCCCCAGGATGTGATTCGCATACTCGTCTCCTCCATGGGCAGGAGTTGTCAGGCCGCTATCGATTCCAACGGGGACATCCGCGTTATTGTAGTAGCTGACCTTCCCCTTGGACTTTTCCTTTGTACCGATAACTGAGATTACTACAATCACCAAGTGTTCTCTCCACAACATTTTGGCTCAATACCAAATACCAATTTGGCTCAATTGTGCCGTTCCTGGTATAAATGTATGTTCCTACCTCACACATATCTGGCTTTGCGTTTCCTCTTTTTGAAGAGTATATAACAAAGCAATATCGTATCTGAACTTAGTTTCAACGAATGAAATGAGATCGTATATGACCAGGTTCTATTTGGCCAAGGTATGACAAGTGGTTAAAAAGTCCTGAGCCTAACTGAAATAATCCACTTCGAGGTCCATATATTTGGGCCAACGGTGCAGTAGTGTCTGGATCACACTGGTGTTGAAGGCTTTCCCCCGGTGGTGTACAAATATCTATACAGCAGACGTCATCGACATTTACATAATGCTTGAACAGGTTCATTTCAGGTGCGTTCCACGTCGTATAGACATGATATTCTCACGCAGATTTGCACAATTTTGGTCTGACCTTTCCGTCCCTGAATACCGAAGCCAGATGAAGGAGAAGACTTCAGACGTAAGATGCTTTCACTTCTTGGGTTGTTTAATCTGCTTCGAAACGACGTAAATTCTCACTGATGATAATGAGAGCTGATGAACCCCAAATGAATGAGTGAGTTATGTTTAACGCCGCTTTTAACAGTATTCCAGCCACTACACGGCGTGTCAGCTTAATGTGTGAGGAAAGCCCCATGTGATGCAGGTCTCAGACGTGTACCACTGCGGTGAAACCCATGAGCACGGGTATCGAAAACCCCACAGCTAGAGCAGTTCGGTAATTCACCCTAAATTCAATCTGAATTAATAAATGGTTTCCCTCTGTAAGTGTACGTTTCCCGGTACAGACTCCATGTCGTGTACCATGGTTATGGCTATGCAAGTGTAATGTAACATGCATCATGGGAGCAATGTTAACAAAGAAACTGCAGCGTCATTTTGTCATTGTAGAAAATGCACATCTAGAATTTTATCCAAATGATTTTTGTGTGCGGATTAGATGTTTTATAAAAAATACATTATTATCATTATAATGGAGTCACGTGCGCATATTTCTGCAGTCCGCTTCAGACTGTCATCATTGGACTTAAAATAAATGTGAACTTCCTGTTTTCGTTCGAATGTGTCTCCTGTAAACTTGGCGATAGGACTCCTTGTGACATAACTACTTCAAGACACAGGTAGGGCGATCTGTAGTTACTCGAAAAAATATATCCTTTTTTAAGAGGCAAAAAACAGTTTTCTAGGCTAAGCATTTCCGACAGTACTTTAGGACATGATCATTGACATTTGGCCTATTTTTTCACATTTTCCTATCATGTTGTTGTTAAAGCTTTAGGTGTTTAAGAGGTCGCCTTCTGTCATAGAAATTTCGGCTGACCTGTCCCTCTTTGGGATTCATGTGTGAGAGTAGAGTACACATATCTATTGTGAGTTTTAGTATTCATTAAACTTTTGTTTTCGTTTTGATAAGATTTCTATTTTCGTGTAGTGATACGATTTCATTTTGTATCTTTCTGCTCTGCTTATATAGGTTCTAATAGCTGTCCATTTCTCAGAAATAGAGTTCGTTTGGGCTTCGCTATTACATCTCTTGGTTATAGGAGAATTCTAACTGCAATTCTTGTTTTAACCGAGTTTTAACTGGGGCATGGTCTTGACATCCCAGCCGCAAGTGCGCAATGGATTCAGGATGATTGCAAGATGGCCATCTCTTGTCATCGTGCTATTTGTGACGAGTCGTGAGATGGCACATCAACTTTCCTTTCATTTGAGTATGAGTATGGCTTTTGGTGGATCATTGGTTGAATATAACCCTGTAGCCTCACATAGACACTGTTGTATAGCAGGGAGACAAGCTGCCACAGTTCACCGTGCAGAGTCATCATTTTGTGCCGGACCCTCTTTATCTGTCTACGTTTGTCTGCACTATGCCCGTCCTCGTGGGTCTCTAGGCCTGTGAGCACTATGCCCGTCCTCGTGGGTCTCTAGGCCTGTGAGCACTATGCCCGTCCTCGTGGGTCTCTAGGCCTGTGTGCACTATGCCCGTCCTCGTGGGTCTCTAGGCATGTGTGCACTATGCCCGTCCTCGTGGGTCTCTAGGTGTGTGTGCACTATGCCCGTCCTCGTGGGTCTCTAGGCCTGTGTGCACTATGCCCGTCCTCGTGGGTCTCTAGGCCTGTGTGCACTATGCCCGTCCTCGTGGGTCTCTAGGTGTGTGTGCACTATGCCCGTCCTCGTGGGTCTCTAGGCCTGTGTGCACTATGCCCGTCCTCGTGGGTCTCTAGGCCTGTGTGCACTATGCCCGCCCTCGTGGGTCTCTAGGTGTGTGTGCACTATGCCCGTCCTCGTGGGTCTCTAGGCCTGTGTGCACTATGCCCGTCCTGGTGGGTCTCTAGGCCTGTGAGCACTATACTCGTCTTCGTGGGTTTCTAGGTATGTCGACGCTATATTCGTCCTCCTGGGTTTCCAGCTGTGTCAGCACTATACCCGTTCTAGTGGGTTGCTAGGTGTATCAGCACTATACTCATCCTCGTGAGTTTCTAGGTTTGCCAGCACTTTACCCGTCCTTTTGTGTTTGTCTACACTATACCCGTCCTAGTGTGTTTGTCAGCACGATACCCCGTCCTTCTGGGTTTCAAGGTGTGTCTACACTTTATTCGTCCAAGTGTGTTTGTCAGCAGGATACCCGTCCTAGTGTGTTTCTAGGTGTGTCAGCACTATACCCGTCCTAGTGTGTTTCTAGGTGTGTCAGCACTATACCCGTCCTAGTGTGTTTCTAGGTGTGTCAGCACTATACCCGTCCTAGTGTGTTTCTAGGTGTGTCAGCACTATACCCGTCATAGTGGGTGTCTAGCTGTGTCAGCACTATACTCGTTCTCATGGGTTTCTAGGTTTGTCAGCACTATACCCGTCCTAGTGGGTTTCTAGGTGTGTCAGCACTATACCCGTCCCTCTGGGTTTCTAGGTGTGTCAGCACTATACCCGTCCTAGTGGGTTTCTAGGTGTGTCAGCACTATACCCGTCCTCGTGGGTTTCTAGTTGTGTCAGCACTATACCCGTCCTCATGGGTTCCTATGTGTGCCAGCACTATATCCGTCCTCCTGGGTTTCTAGGTCTGTCAGCACTATACTCATCCTCCTGGGTTTCTAGGTTTGCCAGCAATCTATCCGTCCTTGTGTGTTTGTCTACACTATACCCGTCCTAGTGTGTTTGTCAGCACGATACCCCGACCTTCTGGGTTTCTAGGTGTGTCAGCACTATACCCGTCCTAGTGGGTTTCTATTTGTGTCTGCACTCTACCCGTCCTAGTGGGTTTCTAGGTGTGTCTGCACTATACCCGTCCTCGTAGGTTTCTAGCTTTGAGAGCACTATCCCCGTCCTCATGGGTTTAATTGCATGGATCGATGCTCATGGTGTCAAGTACTGGATTGTCTGGTCCAGACTCGATTGTTTACACACCACCGTCATATAGCTGGAATATTGCTGAGTGCGGCGTTAAACAACAAACAAACAAAGAAAACTCAGATAAGCATAGCGTGAGCAGCCGAGTGTTGGTGTGCGCCGACCTGGCAGTGCTTTGCACCTAACACAGGCGCCCTATTCATGACGACTGTATAAAGAAGCAGGCATCTCCAGTTTGACATACCTGATCTGATTCACACTCCTTCATATGCTTTACTTTGTTAAGAAATGGTTTGTTTTGTTTGTTTGTTTAAGTACGAGGTTCTGGACAATTAATCGTACCAGTCGGCTGTCATGAATCCCACCGTATCACATTTCCCGAACAAACACACGCAATAAAGCAGCCGCGTGATCATTGTGGTGTTCCCCTGACTGATGTCTAGTCGAAGTAGATGTACATCATGAATAACTGTAGTTCATTGATTGTGAGAAATGTGGATGGTCGTCTTTGAGATGATTTGTTTGTTTACAACAAGTACATTTACATTACATTTGTGTAATGTACCTCAAGTGTGTTACTAAGCCGACCCCAGCAGCTTCCCTGTCACTGAAACATTCACTAAGCAGTTGAACAGTTTCTGGAGTCTGGGCATGGATCGCTGCCTCCAGGACACACACTTACCTTGTCCATTGACATCAAATCTATGTTGTGTCCTCTGCGCATTCCAACCAGGACATGCTTAACTGGTAATTCGGTTCTGCTTCAGTCACTCTACCCGTCTCCCCAGACATACACGGTGAAGGGGTCAGTTAGCTCTAGGTGTACACTGTGGCGTGCTGCCGGTCTTCTACTTCCTTGTCTCTTTAAGACACCGTTGTGCTGGTCCATGGAAGACGCGCAGGGATACTGTAGACAATGAAGCAGGGAGGGCTACTGATCTCACACCTCCTGGCGCTGTGTCACATCTGTCTGACTGAAGGTAAGGACATTTTGATCGGATCAGTGCCCCACTTCTTAAACTGCCTGGCAAAAGATAGTATACACTTGAAAATTGGATTTGACCCAAAACGTTACAAGGCAGACCCCCTTGGAGAGACGCATTGGTAAGTTGCATTGGGCTTTCGCCTATGATGCCGTATCAAATGTATCACCATCGAATAACTATTTCTTGGTTGTTTACTTGTTAGCCATCATCAAACATGGGTATACCTTCTTTTGCCTGACAGTGTACCAATATGAACTCGTCATTTGAGGATTCGTCGTTTTAAACCTCAACACAGTATTTAAACATATGTACCTCATAGATACACACGACATAGGGTTTTCATCTTGTAAACACAGAACGTACCCAGTCTTGACCTACATTGTTGTGTGCACAGATTGAAGGAGTTATTAAGTGCGCATCAATGAGTTGTGTTCTTGATAGTGTTCAATGGCCATAAAATCCTCGTGGGGAGTAGAATACTATTGTAATCCTCTGCAGGTTCGTGGTGCGTGTACGTGTCACATGACTGCTCATGTGGTGTTAAGGGAGTACATGTATTTGTGGTGTCCTGTTGAGGAGATTCTGGATCATATATGGTCACATGGTGTTGGTGTTTAGGGAGTACATGTATTTGTGGTGTCATGTTGAGGAGATTCTGGATCATATATGGTCACATGGTGTTGGTGTTTAGGGAGTACATGTATTTGTGGTGTCCTGTTGAGGAGATTCTGATTCATATATGGTCACATGGTGTTGGTGTTTAGGGAGTACATGTATTTGTGGTGTCCTGTTGAGGAGATTCTGATTCATATATGGTCACATGGTGTTGGTGTTTAGGGAGTACCTGTATTTGTGATGTCATGTTGAGGAGATTCTGATTCATATATGGTCACATGGTGTTGGTGTTTAGGGTTTACATGTATTTGTGATGTCATGTTGAGGAGATTCTGGTTCATATATGGTCGCATGGTGTTGGTGTTTAGGGAGTACATGTATTTGTGATGTCATGTTGAGGAGATTCTGATTCATATATGGTCACATGGTGTTGGTGTTTAGGGAGTACCTGTATTTGTGATGTCATGTTGAGGAGATTCTGATTCATATATGGTCACATGGTGTTGGTGTTTAGGGTTTACATGTATTTGTGATGTCATGTTGAGGAGATTCTGGTTCATATATGGTCACATATAACTGCATGGTGTTGGTGTGTATGTTAGGATCTTAACCATTATGGTTTGGTTTTCAATGTGGCGTCATTATTGGTACTACACACTGGCAATTTAAATAAAACTACAATGTAACCACATAAACATAGTAACATCATGACTAGAATTGTATTCTTATAAAAGAGATACACCATACTGTAAAGAAGACATTTACCATGTAATGCCATACAAAGCACCATGTTATAGAACATCATTAATAGAACAACATCACATAAATAGGACCAAAATGTACCCTCATATACAGGACCAAAATGTAACTTCTTACATACTAAATAAATAGATATAATAAATATAAATAGGACCACAATGTAACATCATATATAGAACCACAATGTACATCATATATAGAACCACAATGTAACATCATATATAGAACCAAAATGCTACACCATAAGTAGAACCACAATGTACATCATATATAGAACCACAGTGTAACATATACAGGACCACAATGTAACATCATATATAGAACCATAATGTTACACCATAAGTAGAACCACAATGTACATCATATATAGAACCACAATGTAACATATATAGGACCACAATGTAACATCATATATAGAACCAAAATGCTACACCATAAGTAGAACCACAATGTAATATCATAAATGTAACAATAACATAAATATGACCACAGTGTAACACAATTAATAGAACGACAACATAACAAATATATGACCACTTTGTAACATCAAAAATATAATGACAACATAACATAAATATGACCACATTGTAACAGCATCATAAATTGGACCACAATAAGTTACATTATATATAGGACCACAATGTAACATCATAACTGGAAGATATATTAGAACAGACTATTCAGTGGAAGAATGTTTTGAGGTCAATAATGCCTATGTACATTTAGAATAATACCAAGAATGTACATCTTTCGCCAACACCTGACGTCTGTACCAAAAAAGTTTATTGTCTACCAAGGATGTTTATCTTGCCATGTAACCACCCTTGAAGTGAATAAAAAGCTCTGAAAAACAACAACATCATAACTGGGACTAAAATGTAACATCACCACAAGACATGTTTTGGTTTGGTTTGTGATATACTTCTCAAGTAGGCCAAAGTCCACTAGTGAATTACATAATAACTATACATGAACATGTGTTGGTACGACTGAAGACCATCAATACCCCAGAGAGGTGGAACACTTTTTCATCTGTCTGATCCAGAGTAAGACAATAGAGATATGTTGAATCTGCCACGTAGGGTCCGCTATCTTTCCGTTTACGACACAAATGAGTTCTTGGCCATATCAAACTGTTAACGAATCAAATTGAGGTTTTATTACATGTGACAAAGAAAGGTCTGACTCGATGTCCTTAAAAGATACTTTTGGCACTGAGTAGCGCGGGCTTTGTCTGCGACCGAAGCAAATCAATACTACCCTGTTTTCCCGCTCTGTGACGACTCATGCCTATCATGTTTAGACGTATTTTGAAGATGGACTGAAGCGTTATTAAACAGATGTGAGTACAACCCGTGTTTTGTGTTGATCAATGAGAGCAAGGGCCGGCAGATGAATGCTGATGGAGACAGTTCGGAGTCTGGGCTGATAGACCAATTATACCGTGACTTATATGACCCTTAGTAGTAGAGTCCTGACATAAAAAGTAGGCAGCTGTAGAAGGGACCAGATAACCCTAGAACGCAGTTACGACATGGTGGAGTATGCGGGTGTTTCTTGAACAAAATGTTTAAGACGATCCCATTCTAGTTTCCTATTGTCGTTCCCACCCTTCTTTTCCTTCGCCCCACCCAGATTTACGTTTACCTGATAGAGGCACCTTTCAAAGATATGAATAGGTTATCGCAAGCTTTTGTTTAGAATAAATAGTTGGGCTGAAAAATCTGAACCATCTCGATTCCTCACTAGTAAAATTTTCACAAATTCACCTCACGTTCTTATAACTCAATCATCATCCAATCAACTCCAGCCTGACCCCTCTTGCCCCAATATTGAGCTGGATTCACAGTTGTCACCGACTGACGAAGAACTTTTAAATCAGTATGCTAATGTTCTACCTCTCTGTTTCATTAAATAATCGACGACAACGTGGAAACAATCCGATGATAACTGGAAAATGTCCTTTCTCTATCGATTCCCTTCTGAACCCAAAGTTTCTGTCACGAACTCTATGTGCAACGCAACCATATCCTTTAAGATATCCAAGGTTTACTTTGTTACACTTTTCAAACAATACACAAATGTTGCTAATTTATGAACATCCTTCAAAAGATTAAGTTAATTTAACATGTTTGTATACTTGTATATACAGGTAGATAATGACGCCTAAACGTTACCTAATTAGGACACACTACATAAGCGATACTCATCTTCTACGTCATAGGACAACAATGCAATGTCACAAATACGACATCAAACATGGGACTCCCCATGAACTGCAGTACACTATAGCATATGGAGGCGTACAACAGAACGTGACAGTCTCAGATCCCGCCTCCTGATAACAGCCCGGGGTAGATAAGTACACAACGTTTAGCATGGAGTGTCGGGGGGATGAACTGTCTGCTGTGACACAAGCCGACCAGTCACTGGAGCTGATCATGGGCGCTCTAGCGGCACGGTGGGAACACCCTGTACTCACAGAGCGTCCCTGTATATCTACACAATACCCACTCTGAAGACTCTTTCTATACCAGCAACCACACCCTCACATGATTGGTGACTGTATCCGTGTTCAGCAGTCCATCCATTGTTACCCCAATCTCTCTCTCTCTCTCTCTCTCTCTCTCTCTCTCTCTCTCTCTCTCTCTCTCTCTCTCTCTCTCTCTCTCTCTCTCTCTCTCTCTCTCTCTCTCTCTCTCTCTCTCTCTCTCTCTCTCTTACTGTCCTTGTTATAAAACGCCGCACTCCCCAATAGTCCAGCTACATGATGGCGGCCTGTATAATATTCGAATCTGGACCACACAATCCAGCGATTGATAATGTGAGCTACGGTCCACGCCGTCGCGGTACGATGACACGCCACAACCAAGTCACCGAACACCGAACCTGACCATCTGAAGCATGTACGGGGGTTGTAGTGTTGGCTGACAAGGTCCATAGAACACCCAGTCTGTGACACCTGCCTAGCGGCTGTCTTCAGGTGGTTTGTTGTACTCGGGTATATATAACACTGCCCACATGAGCTCGGTCAACAACAACATGTCTGCAGATAACACACGTCATCTTGATATGTATAATTTGGTTCAGTGATCTCAAACAAAAACATGGCTGCAGATAACACACGTCATCTTGATATGTATACTTTTGTTCAGTGATCTCAAACAAAAACATGGCTGCAGATAACACACGTCATCTTGATATGTATACTTTTTTTTTAGTGATTTCAAACAAAAACATGGCTGCAGATAACACACGTCATCTTGATATGTATACTTTTTTTTTAGTGATTTCAAACAAAAACATGGCTGCAGATAACACACGTCATCTTGATATGTATACTTTTGTTCAGTGATCTCAAACAACAACATGCCTGCAGATAACACACGTCATCTTGATATGTATACTTTTGTTCAGTGATCTCAAACAAAAACATGCCTGCAGATAACACACGTCATCTTGATATGTATACTTTTGTTTAGTGATCTCAAACAACAACATGTCTGAAGATAACACACGTCATCTTGATATGTATACTTTTGTTTAGTGATTTCAAACAACAACATGTCTGCAGATAACACATGTCATCTTGATATGTATACCTTTGTGCATCGATCTCA